GGTCTGTATTGCACAGCCCTGTTGCTGCCTGCAAAAAATCAGCATTGCTTAGATGAGAACTCAAAACAAAGCGGCGAGGCAGAGGGATTCAAGCCCAATGCCCCTCCCATGGCGGGCACGGCCTCCTGGCTTCATTATAGGTATCTGCCCTGCCTCTGGATCCCAGCTGGGTCCAAGGACATGGCACCTACCCTCCAGCGCTCAAGTGAATAGGGCTGAAGGGTTGCAATGGGCTCACGAGCCTCATAAACGCATGCAAATAAGAGTGTGGAAATGCACTTCTCCCACTGCGCTGGCCGAGAGCAGAGCAAGGGTATTAACCTCCTCGTTAATCCCCTTATTAAAACATTCCAAGGGACGCCGGGGAGATTAAAATGCCGGATTTAGACGCGAGGTCGCATCCTGAGCTGGGATCAAGTCATTGGCTCCACGGATTTGCACCTGTTTGTAGCGCAGGGGTCAGGCCTTTGCTGCTGAATAAACCGACTTCAGATGACAGCGGAGAGGGATCGGAGGAGAGGAGACGCACGGCTCTCCCGCCGGCCTCACCTAGCGCATCTCCTGGAGCAGACGGGAAACGAGATGAATCCATTGCGCTTCCTGGCCCGGATTTGACTGAGGCTCACCTTGCTGTAAATCAAGTCATCGCCCTGAAATCTGTGGGGTCCCGCTGCGTCGGAGGAGAATTGCGGCCGTTTCCCTCTCACATTCTTGTGTCCCGGCCTAGCAAGAGAAAGAATGGATTTTGCAGTTTACCGGCCCCAAATTTGGGGGTTTTTTTCTTTTTTTTCACTTGAAATCAGTTCAGTAATGCGCTGCCTTTTCCATACGCTTCAACCAGGTCGAAACAAATTAGCTCGACCCAGGAGAAGAAGAAGGAAAAAAATCTGGTTTTTTTCTGGCTAAAACAATGAATTTGATACAAAATTTGCAAAACATTTCCAGGAAAGCCGCTGGCTCGGCAGGACGCACTCTGCTATAATCACGGGCAGATCGAGGATTTTGAGACGTGGGGGGTGAGATGGGGTGGCACCTCCTCAGAGCGAACGTGACGCACATTTTTCTCTAGCTAAAGAGAAACGAGAAGCTTGACTAAGATGCTAGGGGCTTCAATTATTCACTTTAAGATGAAAGCAAAAACAAAGAGAGCTATTCGAATGTGCGCTATTTTGCTAGATTATAGATATGAAACTTAAAAAACACACACACACACACAAAACTAGGCAAAAAATAGTGAGAACAGCCCCAGAAGTGAACTTGAACTCCCAATGCTTTGGGATTATTGGAAGCAGCCTTGTCTTTCCGAAGTGCTGGTATGTGGGCACGTGGCATGGGGGGAAGAACAGTTGTTTGAGGTGGGGGGAAAAATAGAGTGACCGAAATAGGAAGGTTTTTTTTTTCTTGTGAAGTGGCTAGAAAATAGGGATCAAGAGATGCACATTTTTGACCAACCGGAAAGTTTTTGGCTGGGCCGAGAAGTGGTTTTCTGTGGAAGTCTTGGGAGTCCTTGACCAGCTCTTCCCCGGGGCTGTGACAAAGGCTGAGAGCGTCCTGTGGGAACAGCTGGTCTGGAAAACTGGGGGGGGGTTGACAACACTTTAATTATTTTATGGAAAATGTCCATTTTTGGTAGAAAAATCCCCCAGAGACTAGGTCTCGATCATATTCTGTGTCTTTGTCCCATCGGAGCTGCAGTTTGGCTGCCTTACAACCCAGTCCTCTGCTATGTGCCTGGGCACGGATACACGTCTGCAGCCAGGGTCTCCCATGAAGCACCGTGGAAGAAAAGTGCATTAGGGGCGACACGGGGAGTGCTCGCTTTGGAGGAGAACGGGAAGGTGAAAGGGTTCGATCCTGCCCAGGAGGCCCCGAGACCAATGGTTTCTACCATGCTTGAGGGTTGTAGCCATGGTGGTCTAAGGACATAGGCAGGTTTCTTTGGGTAGAGGCGATATCTTGTATTAAACCAATTAAATAGTTGGAAAAATTGTTCTTTGCAAGCATTCGGGCACAAACGGTGGGTGTTTGTGCCCGAAAGCTTGCAAAGAACATTTTTTCCCCCAACTATTGAGTTGCTCTAATAAAAGATAGCACAGTTACCTAGATGACCTTGTCTGCCTATGGTTTCTTCCAGGCGTTTTTCAGGTCCTGGCTGCAACTGGATGCTGAAAGTTTCCTGATGAGGAATGAAACCTGCTGTGAGCAAACACCTGCCTCCCCGCAAGCTGTCGGCTGCCAAACGCAAGCTGCCCTTAGCAGCCCGGCCTGGTGGAAGACAAGGCGCAGGGCGGGTATCTAGCGGGAACAGGGTGAGCCTCCGTCCTCTCCTGCAGAGAAGGGGCCTCCCTAAAAACCCAAAGCCAAGCCTCGCTCCTGGCCGATGAGCCTCGAAGGGTTAACTGGCAGAGCAACAGCTGCCAACATCTGTTGAGGAGCTGGAACAGAGAGCGCTGTGTGCGCCGCTCGGGCCGCCCTGGGCAGGTGCCGGCTGTGTGCTAATCCTCCGTAACGGGGCTCTCGAGGGTCAGCACAAAGCCCCGCAGTGTCCTGCGGCGGTCAGGCCAAGGTCACGTCCGGCTCCCAGACACCCCCCGGAACGTCTTGGCTTTGCTTCTTGCTCGACGCTCCTCCGGCGGGCGAGCGGATGCGTTTCCTAAGCCCGTGGTGCAGACAGCGCTGCTTCGCGGAGGGTGCGGGCAGGATGGGAGAGGGGCTGGCGCTCCTCCGTGCTGGCTCGCAGTTGCGCACGGCGCTGTATGGGGCGCCATGTGCGGTCAGCCACAGCCAGGCCTCACCTGGAGCCATGTGAGAGCATGGGTAAGGTGAGGCATCGTGATGGTCCTAAGGTATGCTCACCAGTTGGGACTGGTCAGGCCCCATCAGACACAGCGCCAGGCCTCCGATGGGCCGATTCGTGGGGCCAGCTTGGGCTCCCACCTTCCAGGGTGACGCCAACGCTGGGGCTCTGGAGGGGATGCCTGGGCAAGAGACAGGGAGAGGGCAGAGCTGGATGGGAGCAGCTACAGCAAGTAAATACCCGGCTCTTTGGCTTCCTGGGGGATCAGGCAGCTAGGCTCTGGGGAGAGGAACCGGGATCACCCGATTTCCATGGCGCAGCTGAGGGCACTGAGCAGACGGGTCTGGAAATGGTGGGGGTCTATGGAAAGAAAGGGTGGCCCTGATTGGAGCCCCGAAGGGCAGAGTTAAGGTGATCCGGGTCGGGTGCTGCTGGTGTTTTCCTGCCCCGGGTTCCCCACCGTCAGGGAGGCGAGGAGAAAAGCCAGGCGCCCCTCTCAGACACAGCCCACGGGTCTTGGGAGAAAGGTGCTGGGGGGTGAAACTCCCGGTGTGGCGAGACACCGAATTTCCTTTCAGCCGGGAACGTCGGAGCCCATTGCATTGCCGTGGCCGAGCCATTGGGGGCCGGTCGGGACGCGGGGGGATGCTGTGGGCTGAGCACAACCAGGCGATGCAGGTGCCATGTGTTTGCTCCAAGGGTCTCGGTGCCGGGACAAGCACGCGGCATCCCATACAGTCGGGCTGGAGGTCCCCGAAGCTGTGCCAGGCCCTGTCCAGAAGCCGAGGAGTGGGACAGTGGCACCGCACGGAGCGGGGAGTTTAGGGGCAGGGTGTGGGGCAGTGCCGGGCTGGCTTTGCAGCCTTGTTGCCCAGCCTGGCACGGCGTGGCTGGCTCCCGGCCCCTGCCTCACAGACCCAGCAGAGGCAGAGCTACTGGGGGGCCTGGCGTCAATGCCCTACTGCTGCACTGGAACCAGTGGGCTACTGGGCCACTGGCTCCTCTACTGTGGTAGCAGGACGCCCTCTAGTGACACTGCACAGCTGCAGCACTGGCAACCTGCGAGCAGTGAGGGGTTTGCAGCCCTGGGGTGGGAGAGGGCAGGGCAGAAGGGGCTTTCCTTGCTCCTGCCACCCTTTCCTGCCCTTCCCCAGCCTCCACGGCATACGACAGCTCCTGCTGGAGAGGAAGCACGGGCCAGTGGTTAGAGCCCAAGGCTAGGGCTTGGGGCACTGTGACTGTGGACCTTAGATTGGCTTCTTTGGTGGGCAGTGTGGGGGCCTCTCTGCTGCAGTGCAAACCAGCCTCGGCCTCAGCGAAGTGGCCCAGGAGGAAAGAAGACCCCCACCACAGTATTCAGACAGGGAGATGCAGCCGTCTGGGGGCCAGGAGCAGCTGGGGGGAGCCCTAGTGGGATCCCCCCGTGGCTGGTCGCAGAGCCACGGGCAGGAGGAAGCCTTTCCAGGGGGTCTCCCATGCTCCAAAAACAGGAGTCCAGGGAGAGGGGGGGCTTGGGCCAGGCCTCAGCGCTAGGCCGGGCCTGCAAGGAGGCTTGCTATTATTGCACAGTGCAAATACTACACACACTCACACACGTGCGTGCAAACCCAAACACACCAGTGTAGGCCCACACACACGCACGTGCAGTCCATCGGGCTTCCATGCACTTTCCCACGTGCGTGCACGTAATACATGCATGCACACTGCAACACTCGTGTGTGCCACACCCACAGTTTTGCCTGTGTCCATGTGCACACACACTGGCTGTTCCAGTCCCTGTGCAGGACACCCGCCAACGGTCCCGGATTTCCCAGGGGAGGCCTGAAGTCCAAGGTCAGAGGCACTACTGCCGCAGCGGTGCCAGGGCCGTGCCAGGGCAGTGAGTCTGAACCCAAGTCACTGCCAAGTTCAGGGGGGCTGCGAGCCAGCGATCGGTGATGCTCGGAGCAGCGAGGGCAGCAGGGGGCAGCAAGGAGGGCAGCAGGGAACTCCTTGCAACCATTAATGAGGCAGAAGTTAGTTAGCAGCACCCAGGGCAGGGCTGGGCTGGGCCGGGCTGGGCTGGCCCTGATTGGAGCAGGCAGCTCCCAGCTGCATCACCTGTTGCAATAAAGTGCCAGGCTGGAGGCTATCAGGCTTCAGAAAGAGCAGGGAGCTGTGCAGGGAGCTGGGATTTGGCTTGCATTTGTTCCCCCTGGATTGATTTTTTCTTTCCTGGATTGGGTCCCTGCTCTTTGAGGTAAGCGCTGCCTTTCCAGCTGCAAATCCCCTCTCCCCAAGGAGCCTCAGTGCAGCAGGGGCTGCTTCGCTGGAGGGGGGGGCAGCAGGTCTCCCACTCCTCCCTGCTTGCAGGGGTGCATTTGCAGCCGGTGCAATGACTGGAGTATCCTGCCCTGCATCTGGAGGGAGGATTTGGGCTGCTGAGCTGGGCTTGAGCGGAAGTTGTGGTGGTTTTTTGTTTGTTTGTTTGTTTGTTTTTTTTGGTGTCTTTTTTTGTTTGTTTTGTTTTTCTGCAGTCTTTCAGCAGGGAGCAGGGATGTGATTAATTTTAATTTATCACCTTTTTGGAGTTTTTTTTGGAGTTTTTTTCTGGTATAGAGTGGATCTCTGCATGTGCCTCTAAGGTCTCTTTTTGTTTGTTTCTTTTTCCTCTTTGGAAAAGAAAGCTAGGATCTCCTGTGGAGAGGCTGGGCAGGGGTGTGACTTCTTTTTCTTCTTCCTGCGAAACTTTTCTTGCAAAATGGGGTGCGGTGCAGCGGGTCTTATTAAAGCATAAGCTGCATCTCACACAAACCCCTCCAACCCTTCTCTTCCAGACACCAAGATGAGCTGCTTCAGCTTCATCAAGGTCATCATGATCTTGTTCAACCTGGCCATATTTGTAAGTACCTGCGCTGCCCTGCTATGCTCAAAGCCGTCCCATCTCCTCCCTCGTTTTGACGTCCGTCTCTCCTGATGCTCCAGGTGTGGGTGGCTATGGGGAGGGACCCCCCTGTCTTGCAATCTTTAATTGCCGCCCCTTTGCAAAGTTGCTGCTCCTGACATGGTGGGGGCAAGCTGCCCCGGCTGCGTCCCCGTCTCCCCATTGCCTGCGGAGCAAGGTAGGGAGGAAGGCTTTGAATGCACAGCTGCAGCCAGAAGGCGAAAGCACATTTGCATGCCTAAAATCTGGAGGCAATTGGGTGGAAAAATGCATCCAGACAGGTGAGCAGAGAGCCCACCTGCTCCTCGGTGGCTGGCCTGAAATCGCCTTCCCCTGGCTGCAATGCCAGTGCTCTGTAGATAAAGAGGTTGCTCTTTTAGGACATTGCATTGCTCCTAGTTTCAAGGGCTTGCAAACTGTTCTGTTGGTGATTTAAAAATAATCAAAAAGAGTTGGTATTTTAATGCATGGGTCTGAGGAGGGGATGGGGGGGGGGGAGGAAAACGGGACCATACTCGTGCCTTGCTGTGCTAGCAAGATGGCTTGGGGTCTGTACCCTCTCCCCAGAGGTGTGAAGCTACACGGAGGCCTCTTTTTCCATTTTGGCCTTAAATTTGACACCTGCCGGCTGCTCTGGAGCCCGTGCCAGGAGGCAGGGATGCTGGCGGGGTGGCTGGGGCTGAGCAGGGTGGAAGGAGGACGCCGGAGACGAGCTCCCAGGCCGCACGGCGGAGGTGCTCGTGGCCCGTGCAGCCGAGCCCCGGGGAGACGGGCTTGCGGAGCCGAGAAGCCCCTCGATGCAGGACTCGGAGGCATCCTGCTCCCGCGCCCACCCCGGGTCGGAGGCGTTGCCGGCTCCGTTGTGCGTGCTTTAATGGCCACAGCGCGGATAACAGACTACCGCGATATGGCAGCAAGGCCGGCATTTGCAGCCTCCATGCTTGGCTCTGGTCTGCTACGTGGGGGGCTCTGGAAGACGATGGACAACTGCTTTAAGACCTCGATGAGTGCGTCCTCCATGCAGAGTCCCCGCAGACTCGGTGCATGCGGAGGGGGC